AACATGTCAGGGAGGTATAATGGGTTGCAGGCTCACTTAAAGAAAAGCAACCCATTAATACACTATATTCCATGTGCAGCTCACTCTTTGAATTTGGTGGGAGTCAACAGCATTGACAGATGTGGAAATGAAGTCTCTAAGTATTTTGACTTGATTCAGTCTATTTACAACTTCACAACTGCATCCACACACCGATGGGACAGGGTATTTGGCAATTCCAACATAGATCTCACACTTAAAGCTTTATCCAACACGCGTTGGAGTTGCCGTGCAGAATCTACCAAAGCACTGTGGCAGAACTACAGTAAAATAAAAGCAGCACTACAGGTTATTTCCACTGATGACACAGAGAAACGAGACACACAAACTGAAGCTGACAGTCTAGTGCGGAAGCTGGATTCACTTGAGATGGCCTTCATGGCAGGCTTTTGGGACACTGTTCTGTCCAGATTTCAGGCCACAAGTCTGCAACTTCAAAAAGCAGACATGGACCTTGGTACAGCAGTTAGATTGCTGGAATCTCTGCGCACCTTTGTTCTCTCCCAAAGAGATCTATTTGATCATTTTGAGCAGAAAGCCTTAAACATGTTGGGTGGCACCCCATCTTACAGGGCTGAACGGACGAGGAAACGTAAAAAGTTTGCTGATGAATCAGCATCCCCAGATGTTGTGCTTGAGGGAAGGCAACTGTTTCAAATAGAGACATTTATTGCCTCTATTGATCAACTGAGTTCAAGCCTTAATCACCGTCTGGAGGCCTACAAACATCTGAACAATTTGTTCAGTGTCCTTTTCTCTTTGGATACAGATTCCAATGCTTCAGTCCTTCACAAGGCCAAGATTCTCACTGAATCATACCCATCTGACCTCAATGAAAGTCTTGGACAGGAGCTTATACAGTTCAAATCTTTTATACAGCTCAACAACACTGATGAGGAGAGGACCCCTTCAGGACTGCTCAAAACAATAATACATTTTGGACTACAGCCTACGTTTCCTAATACATACATTGCGCTACAGATTGTTCTCACTCTACCGGTCAGTAACTGTGAGGGAGAACGCTCATTCTCTCTTTTGTCAAGAGTAAAAAATGAGCTGCGCACAAGAATGACTCAGAAAAGATTAAATGCGTTATCTCTAATGGCAATTGAGAGTGAGCTGACAAGAGAGTTGGACTGCAATGATGTGGTGGATGATTTTGCAAAATTGAAAGCACGAAAGAAACCCCTTGCTTAAAGGTGCACTGTGTAAGATTTTTAGGTTATTTCCAGAATTCACCCATTCACTAATGTTAGGCTACCTGTTTTCATGAATACTTACCACCACCATAAAATTCTAAGTATCCATTATGACTTGGAGAATTGCACTTTCGCCATTTCTGGGAAGTGTCACCTGGATTGTGAAGATAGGATTGACTTTAGGCAGAAGCTTGGTGCTTTCTCTGGCAAACTGAACCTCAAGCTTCATTCTCTGCAGCTTTGCATTCTTGTGCAGACTTTCATCCACAAGGAACTTTTCAACTTCCCCACTATCGTGAAGGGGCCATCAAAAGATTTCAGTGTGTCCAGCATGTCTAGTCTCTTACTCTCCTTTCTTTGAGCCATCTCTTGTTTCTCATCTGCCCTACTCTCGATTTTTGCCTTCATGAATTTACTCCAGTTGAGTTCAACCTCCCTTTTTGCTTGTGCTGCTGCCTTGAAACCTCTGAAGCTCCTGGCACTTCTGTAAAATTATTGGCCTATTGACTGCGTTCAGTGTGCCCAACTTCTTCAGTTTGTAGTCCACCTTGCCACATTGTCTCTCCATCCCAATGTTGTGCACAGGGGTGCCATCAATGTTACTAGCCTGTTCACTGACAGGGTCCATTGGGAAGGTCTCCTCATCCATCCTCTGCCTGGCCAGGACAGTCTTCAGATGGGGCAGCATGAGATCTGTCAGCTGCTTCACTTCATCCAAGTATTCGGCAGCCACGTCTGACACTGAGTTCAGGACATGTCCAGTGCCTGTCCAGCCACTATAGCATTCTTGGAAATGGGCTATCTTGACCTGCATGCAGCCCTTGTACCATGAACTGGCCTACACCTTTCTTTGTGGTGCTCTCCGATGCATGTTATCATTTTACCTTTCTCCTTCTCCTCAAGCTTAACCACAAATAGATACAGACTTTGAGCCTCAATTTGCTGCACAGCTGCCGTTATGCCAAAGTGTTTTCCTAAGATATTATTTTATTTTTAATGATAGAAGGGAGGAAAAGGGGGCAAAAATCATGTCCGATTTAGTTTTTTGGGTGGGGTGGGGGGTTTATTTCATGATAGCTACCAACTTCCAATACATAATATCTCTCAAATGACCCAATGCACCATCACTGAAGTGGGCATAATCATTTTCCAAAATGTTTATTTTTAGTCCATTTATCCCCTCCCCCTGTGTCTGTGTGAAACCTGTGCTTGTCAGTGTCTGTGTGGTATACCTAATAGTGTGTGTGCAGTATGTGCACTCTTCTGTACAGGACAGTGTGCATGTCTGTTCACAGTATACAGTATTTCTTGCATAGTGCGTGCGTGTGTGTGCGCCCGCACGCGCGGGGGATTGAGGGGCCAAGACCATGTAAGGCCCAGGGGGCCAAAATTTCTTAATCCGCCCCTGAAACTGACCATAGTTTTTAAAGAACTTTGCTTGGATTTGTGTGTTTAATGACGTAAGACATGTCTTTAAAAACAAAAAAAAAATGAAAAACCTGCAATAGGACAAGCATTTTTGATCACAAATAACAAATAGGGTTGCAGAAGCAGAGCAACAGAAGTCTTGTGCTTGCTCCTTAAAAAGCCTGCTTGGCTGTTTGTTTCATGTAAGAAAATAATGAGTTGAGAATCTCATGTATTGTTTGAGGCTGGGACTCAAAACTGAAGTTTGGACAAAAGAAACCCTTAAGAAATATACACTTTTCTGCACTGTTGTTGATACAGATGTAAATAATGCAGTAATCTTGCAAGAAAACCCAGCTTAACATTCATGAACTCAAATATTAACATGTTTTTCCCTTAGTTAGAATTTGTATTTATTGTATAGAAGAAGGTAAGTGATGCTGCAACCTATATTTTATTCATTGTTTCCAATTTTAGGTGGCTTATTAAATTTATTTTATTTTCTTTTTTGTCTCACTCTGGCTAATAGCTAATGCATCATATTTAAGCTTCTACCTCCTGTTCCTAGCTCTTATCCCTTTATATTTTATGCTGTCAACAGTAAGATCAGTATCCAGATTATGAAAAGAACTCCGGACTGTTGAATCTGGACAAACTTCAGCCTTATGAATGTCATTAGATGGATATCTTAACGTGGTGGAGGGGTTTCAGTGGCTGGATGATCCCAGATGCTCTGTTATCAGGGGCTTAAATGCCCCTGGTAGGGTCTCCCAAGGCAAACAGACCCTAGCTGACAGGTCAGACAGAATGTTTAACAATGCCCCTATGATGACCTATAAAATCCAGGCACATGATGTCGCCCAGTACGATGGGACCTCACCCTGGAGCCAAGCCTGGGGTTGTGGTTCATCAAGCAGCGCCTGTTGGCTGGGTTTTTTTTTCTCATGGGACTCGGCCGAGCCGGGTCCAGCCTGAAGGAGTGATGTGAGGCCATCCCCCTTTGGACTCACTGCCTGCAGGGGGAACCATGAGGGATTGAGCAGCAGTCAGAGGCAGAGGCATTGTCGACCCATTCTGTTGGAGCTTCCCACCGAGCAAAAATTGGTTGAAAAGACATTGCAAAGATGACATGATTTAGATCCACATTTGGTTGAAAAGCAAAAGGTGAAACGCCTTAATTTTCAGATTGCCTTTTTTTTCTTACCATTGAGTTTAAACTATATCATTCTGCAAAACAAAAAACAATAAATTGAATGCTTTATTAATACATGCAGTCCGTTTTTATTTATATGTGCAGTTGATTAATAAATAATTTATTGTTATTAAATAATAAATTGAATTAATTAAATATACATGCTTCATTTGATTACATTACATTGATTACATTACTGTAAAAACCCTTTTTATAGAAATATCCACCTGTATATTATATTCGTTACATATCCAGCTGTAAATTTAGTTCATAATACTAATTATCTATATATTATATTCATAGGACAAATCTATTAATAAGATTCTGTTTATAATGGTATTCATCTCTATACTTATTCAGTAGAAACCCATGTCCTGTATTTATGGAACCATTATTTGTCCTGCACTTGCTGCTATTGCACTTCTGGTTAGACCTTAACTGCATTTCGTTGCCTTGTACCTGTATATGTGTAATGATAATAAAGTCAAATCTAATCTAATTATGTCAGCCTTGAACCTTGAAGTTCCTGTATTTTGTGTCATAATTGTTATACCTTTTTGGATTGGGGTTTAATGAAACAAAAGCAAATTTTAAGTTCTAAAGAAGTGGGATTGTAGATTATTCTTAAAGGTATTAGCCTTATACATTATGAACTTGATTTTGGCTTTTAATTTCTGTCAAGCTGCCTAAATGTATGAGTTGAATTATAGCAGGGTGAAAAAAAAAATAAAATTTATACAATTCTCTTAATGTCCACATTGAAATGGAAAAGCATCAAATAATTTTTCAACAGTTCTATCACATTGCATTCTCACTGTTGATAGTATCTGTGATGATGAATGAAATGAAGCAAAAATGGCTGCATAACTTTATAAGTGTCACACTTAAACCAAACACAATATCAAGCAAAAATAACCCGAATGAAGACAAGATATAGCTCATTTATTACAGTACCCAGGGGGTCACAGTGTAATTTCATGGACAAATGTTAGAAATCTCTCTCTCTCTCTGTATATATATACATATATATATATATATATATATATATATATATATATATATATATATATATATATATATATATATATATATATATATATATATATATATATATATATATATATATATATATATATATAGTTACAAAGTAAAATAAACAGTTCAATTTATAATAAATACAAAAGTTATAGTTATGTTATTTAAGTGCGATGGTATTGCAACTAGGTTTACTGCACTTTTCTCTGTTCAGATGTTGGAAAGGGGGCTTATCTGTTTCCTTTAGACCCGGGAATTACACCTTATTTTTAGGGTCTTAAGCCTCCTTCATGCTGTCATTCGGGTTCTATTTAATTGATTTCTTGTTTTCAAAACTAGGCCTAAGCAAGGCAGGAGAAATAATAAAAAAAATTATTGTTTAACAACGTTAAGATTTTTTTACGCCCTGTTAAATTCATTTAAAAAAAGTCTCTTTCTATTAAAATTCGTTTAATGTTTTTGACTTACTTTTTCACAGAACGCATTTAAATGTGCACAAAGGGTGAATGTCAACTAAAGGCTGAAAGCTATTTTAAAGTGAAAGTTAAACAGCATAAATTAACAGCAAAACATTAACATTTCTGTTAAGTAATAAGATTATTGGAGCAATTAACTTGTATGATTAAAACCGGTGGATTTCTTATACTTATTCTTTCTATCTCTATAAGTAGTCTGTAGAAACAGCAGGTTGCTTTTCCCTATATTTGAGGAGATTTTTACTATTTATACTGTGGTGTAAATCTATTAATTTCAACATTTGTTGCAATAAAGGCAAGATTAAAATCAAAGCTGCGGAGAAAAAGAAGCTTCCTGCATCCCATCTACTTTTAGGGCTGTTTGTGGACATGCTTTTAAAATCCTTTCTCCTTTTGTTAGGCAAAACAAAGCGCATCAGAAGTATATTTCTTTTTCAACAAGGTCATTCAGAACAACAGCAGGTAAATCAGCCACAGTTGTAAAGGTGTTGAGACGTGGCAATCTGTGAGAATTCGTCAGGACGCTCGACCCCCCGACCTCCGTACTTTTCTTTTCCCCTGCGAGTCAGGGGTTTGATACAGATGTAGGACAGAAATTTATTGTGCAGCGAAGCATAGATGAAGGGGTTGTAGCAGGCTGAGCTCATGGCCAACAGGTGGGCAGACACCTGGATGACATTAATGTAGTTTTTCCCCAGTATGGTGAAGTCTGTGTCCAGGTCACAGATCAGATTCACCACCTGAAACGAGAAACTTATTGTTAGAAGTTTTATTGAAAGGCTAAAAATCTTTCAGACATATGCAGCCATATATAAAAAGAAAAACTACATTTTGTAGTCCAATTTATTCTTTTTCCTAACCTTTTATTCTTTAGCAAGTTTCAGATTTTTTTTTAAATCAAACTAAAAAACTTTCTGTTGACCCAGAATGTCTATTAGTCTATTATTTCTAAAAAATAATAGACTAATATTTCTTCCTTACACAAGCAATCTGTAGCTTAGCTGGACATTTGATCATCAAGGTTAATTTTTTTTAACGTGACTCAGCCAGATGGTTTTGCTCCGCATATCCATCTGGAAACCTTGAAGTATTTTTGGGAAGGGGCGAAAATACTGGTTAGCTGATTGGCCTATGTTGGTTATAGACGGGCCAAATAAACCAATCAGATCAACGAAGCGTATGACGTACTAACATAGCGACGACGTAGAGGAGCCAATTGATAAATCAAACTCTTGCCGAAACCAGTCGGGAGAAGAGCAAAAGCATCTTTTCCTCTGAGAAAAGCCTCCAGAGCAGTGTTTTGCTCTTCTTTCAGTGAAGAAATACTCTGTAATTCCGATAAAACTTGCTCGATAGCCACGATAACGCTAGATTCATCGGCTGAAGCCGCCAGGTTCTTTAGACTGAATGGTCGCGCTTCCGTTGCGTCACACCTCAACCCGCCTCAAAGCCAACGCTGATTGGACGTCCGTTTGGTGAACTACTCCAAATTTTCTTTAACGGAGAGTAGCCAGACTGATCTGCGAGTGAAACTTTGAAAGCTCGCAAGATCAGGATGGTCTCACGAGGCTACATTTTTTCCTTTCAGTTAAGATAAAATTTCATTTTCATCGTAACTTTCTGTTCTGGAGCTCCTGCATAATAAGCAGCTTTTTTTTCCTGAAGAATTAGAACAATAATACATATGTACAGTTTTCTGTGGTTAAACTGAGCAGCTGTTAGTAGAAGTCTGAAGCTAAGAGCAGAAACACTTTAACTGGCTTAAAAAATAAAACATTGAAAAAAACAACATGATTTACGTCCAAAAAACGTCTACGTTTGGTTAAAAAGTGAAAGGAGAAAAGATGCAATTTTCAGATTGTTGAAAAGACTTTAAAAACTCTGTTTTCAGCATCTTTTTAACGTCTATTAATTGACTAAAGTGGGACAAAATCAGACCGAACAAACGTAGCCCAATTTTTTAACAACAATTTGTGGAGACTATGATGGTCGGAGCAGATTTAGCCTAAAAGCCAACATCTAAATATGGCCCGCTGTTTGGGGGGATTAAGGCTCCATTTCATGATGATCTCCTTTAACCACTTCTAATCTCTTAGTCATTTTAAAATGTACTTTTAGAGCAACATTTATGGTCAAATCAACAGCTTATTATCAAAGGCGATGGGCCAAGATCTCTGGAATCTAACCTTCCTAAGTTGCTTTAATCATTTAGCTGCATGCCATAGCAAATGTTGAAAGAAGAGTGTGTAAAAAAAATCATCACAAGGTTGCACTGTTGAGCTCTGTCTGTAGACCAAAACAAGATGTGTGACAAAGCAATGCCTACTTCTACCTAAAGAACTCATAACATCGTAATTCTGTTAGGAAGAGAATGTTATCTTGGCAAAGGATCCTTCTTCCATTTTGGTTTAGTGCTCTATCTGAGAAAAGAGCAGCTAAACCAAGACTGGTAGCTACACACATGAACGTGCATGCAGTCCCAGCTGGTAAAGATGAGACTAGAGAACAACACATTGAGATCATAGTTCTTAGTTTATTTTAGTCCTTCCATGAGAAATTAGGGCATATTGCTTGTTTAAAGCTGAAGTCTGTAAGTTTTTAAAAATCACTTTTTTGTCATAATGGCTAAAACTGTCCCTATGCCCAGACAGCAGTACATGTGATATGTAACCTGTGAAAAAAACTGCTTCAATTGGTCCCGCATACTGCCTGTATTTCAATCTGGAAAGAATAATTCGGGACGAGTCAAAACAACCAATCACAGCCAGAGGAGCGTCTGATGGAGTGTCAATCACAGCTCCCCCCCTCACCGCTTAACCTGTCGCAGCTCCCGGCTGCCGCAGTCAGGAGGATGTGCATGGAAGTCATGGCGAAGCGACAGCCACCAGCGAAAGAGAAACTGCCCTTACTGCCCCTGCCGACAACAGCTTACACGGCAAACTTCGGTATAACCAGCATCTTATATCTAGCTGCTTGGAGGTGAGTGTTATCGCTCTTACCGGTTCACACTCCATGCCGCGTACGCTGCTTGGACGCTTCTGGTCGCATGTGGTAGCCGCACAGATGCTGTGAGAGGGGTGGGGCTTGGAGGTGGGGCATGAGTGAAGCAGAGAGGGTGGGGGAGTGGCGTGAAACCTGTTTTTCTTCAAATTTTCAGTCGAAGTCTGCTCTCTCCTCAATGTTACAGACTGCAGCTTTAAGGTTCCTCAAAAATAAGGACTGAAAACAAAACTCCAGAAACCTTTGAACTAATTAAAAAAAATGTAAATCTTTATTTATTTATTTTTTTAAAACTTTACTTTTAATTTTCTGCTCTGCAAAATAACCATCATTAAATGGTTGAAATGTGAACAGCCCCAAGAATTGGATCGTTTTTCACACCTTTGGGAATTGTTAAAAGTTTTTATTTTTAGATCAAGTTTATCTTACATAAAAAAGAAAAGGGTGATTCGGGAGAAATAATCCAATTCATTTATATTTTTGCACAGGATTAATGTAAGGATTCTTTTCAAGAGTTGGTACATGTGTAAAAAAATTTAAAACGTTATAAAGGCTCTTGGTCACATAACACAAAGTTTGCTGTATTTGTGTGTGTTTGGTAGAATTATAATGGCCGCCGGTCCAAGTTTTATCCCGCCTCTTGGTCAATTATTGCTTGAGAAATGCATCAGCTCCTTTGCAACCCTGCTAGAATAAGAAGCATATGCAATAGATTGAAGGATGCTGGTTTCATATCAACCCCGGCTGCACCTTCGGATAGAAAAAGGGATTAAATTATATTTTCTAACTCTCGAGAGATGCTTATTTAGAAGGAGTCTCCATATTGCAGACCTTTCCCGGCTAGAATGTCATTTAATCATCAGAATCTTTTATTAATATCTTTCTATTTACCTGTAAGGGAAGCCAAGAGAAAGCAAAGCAGAGGACAGACACCAGCAGTAGACAGAAGGTCTTCTTACGTCGTCTACTCCAGGCGGCCCGTGCACATCTCAGCTCGGGACAAGCCGTCAAACCTGACGTGGTCCTCCGCTTCAGCTGGTATGATATAGCACAGTAAGAAATGGAGACTGCAGCCAGTGGAACAAAGTAGGAAAAGAAGAGGATGAAACAGGAGTAAATGAGTCGGCCTTGTTCCTGGCCATCCCAAAACTCCTCACAGACTGCCATCTCCAGGCCCGCAGCATGCAGCTCCAGGTAGACTGTGTGAAGGGCTGTTGGGGTGGATAAGGCCAAAGATGACAACCAGATCAGTACTACCAAACAGCAGCAGAACTGGCATCCCGCTCTTTTGCGAATAGGATAAGCTACAACTATGTAACGGTCTACTGCAATGGCCATGAGGGACAGGACTGCGGCGTAAACAGCTGTGGACTGCATCACGGTAACAAAATGACACATGTGGTATCCAAACACCCATCCACGTCTATCAAAGGCATAGGAGGCCGTCAAAGGGACGCAGAAGATGCACATCACCAGGTCGACGAGCGCCAAGTTGCTGATAAGGAAATTTGTTGTGTTGTGTCTTTTTTTGTTGTGCCAGATGAGGAAGAGGAGGAGGAGGTTCCCAGAGCAGGCAATCAGTACCACGGCAGAGTAGAGTGGAATGAAGAGGAGCTTCAGACTGAACAGCAGGTCAAAGCCAGAAAACGCGGGGACTGGAAACAGCGATGGGTGGAAGAGGAGGTGCGAAGAATTGCAGCAGGATGAAGGGAAGGAAGAAGAAGAGTCAGAGGCTGGGGCTGAGGAGTTCATTCTGGACTGATTAGACGTTTTCTCCCTGTCCATGGCTGCAAAAAGGAGAATGAAGAATGAGATGATCAGCCCCCATAAACTGTGAAATTTGCATCATTTCAACAATGCATCATTTTTTAACAACAATAGTTTAAAGTGGCATGACAATTGGTTAATGAAATGACTCTCGCTTGAGCAGAATAATTACTGACCACTTCAGTTCTTTCCATTAGCTTTGTTACAGAAGTTTCAGCAGCGATTTCGTCCTTGTCAACAATTCTAATACGATCTTACTTCTCTACTTTTATTCTCCAGGCCTCTCTAAGTCTGATCCTTCTCATCTTATCTACTGAGGTTTTTATGAGCAGACTAGATGATGTGTGCAGTCCACATGAATCATCTCAGCTTGCCTGCATCAAATCAACACTCCATGACTGATCATCCTGAACACATCATTAGATTAAAATGCAATGAGAAGTGCTCACCAGATTAAAATACGTAAGATATGGAATGCCTTGGAAAAAGGACATGAATGAAAACAGGATGAGCAATCTGGGGCTGCAGAATGAGGCTTTTAATTAAAAAAATAAATATGCAAATAAAGCTGTAATAAAACTACATTTAGTGAGCAGCTTTTAAAAATTCAATCTGCGTGATTATAAGTGTTTTTACATCAGAACTGGATACAGAGCAATCTGTTGTTCTTTGTGTCCGTTTTTTTTTATTGAGGGTGGAACAAGTAGGCATCAGGGACACAATCAGAACAAATCCTGTCTGAGTTTCTAGATCTCAGGTAGCAACGATGTAAAAAGAGGTGACGCCTCATTGCTGACTCCATCACACTCAAGAGAAGGAATAGATGCATGTTAATGAGCAGATACGGCTAATCAGGAACGTCTGACTACTGTTTGTCTCATCATTTTGTCACAAACTACCAGAATATTTTCAACTTAATCCCAACATCCCATCCCATCTTGATTAAATACCTTTAAAAAGCTACCTTTGAAACCCATACAGGCTGAACAACAGCAAAAATAGGGATTATGAAAATATAAAAACTCTGGCTTCAAATCAACTCTTCTCTTGTTCAATGTAGTTAATTTACAATATTACAGAGAAGTTCAGACAAAAGAGAAAAGTACCTGTTTCAGGTGTTCGTTGGAAGGTTCAGCACTTGTTTGCGTCGTCTTCCTTGCATGGAGTCCTGCCGTTGTGCAGCCTTTCCTCCTCTCTGCTTGATATAAAGAGGTGAGCTCTCTCTCTCCCTCTTTGTCAGTGTCACACACACCCATCAGGATGGGATTGTGTGAGTGAGTCACCTCCAGAGAAAATTTCAATCTTGTGTAAATGCTCCTGAAGAAGTCAGGTACTGGTGGTAAAAGAAACAACTCCTACTAAATATATATATATATATATATATAATATCCTACAGAAATGTAATCAGTGATTAGCTATGATCCCTGATTTCTGATTTTTTGTTTCTTTTTTATGTTGATCAGAAATGCCTTACACACATAAAATGTTGCTCTTTCAGTCTTTACTTTAGTCTCACTTGTACCAGATCATTAAACATACAAATCAAATAGTTTCAAAAGCTAATGTCACATTTAATGTCAGTGTTTTTATGTAAAGCAACTCTAATCCATCTAAAATATGTATTTTATGCACGTACATATAATGAATCATGTTCTTTAAAGATGTATGAGGTATGGACTCCATAATAGTGCAGTTGGCAGCTGCTGTGCACTTAAATGAATTTATGCAAGTTGATATGTAATCAAATATATTTTAGTCTGTCGTGTTTAGTCATGTGAACATATGCCTAAATGGCTGCGTGTTAGCACAACATATAAAAAGAGCGATTTGAAGTTTATTGCTGTCTAACAGAAAACTCTGCACATATAGGATAAATTCACCAAAACTTTCATTCACCAACAGATGGATGAAAAGGGCACTGAGAAGAGTTTTTCTGTCATTAATACTACAGTTGCCTAAATATACATGTGGATTCATTCTTAATTCTTAATAAAAAATAATAATAACATATAAGAGATTTTTCTGACAGATCTAATTCTGTGCTCATTGTATGTTTAAATATCTAAAATATTTATATGAAACAAAAAAGGGTAAATCTCTCCGGAAGCGATTCCTTTTTAACATGGAGCTGATTCTTACCAAAGATCATCAGAATTTGTCTTCCTAGAACAATGAATGAATGATGTCACATTTCCTGCTGTGAGCCTCTTCATACAAACACTGGGATGCTAATGTGGCCAAAAAGAAGACCTAATTAAATCATCAGAAGATAAACCAGGATCCTTACCAGCTGGAAACACATTAAACATTCATAATATCGATGTAGGAATTGTGAGCTTTGTCGTTTGGACCTTTAAAGTCAGCATGACACCAACAGTGTTTGTGAGCATCAAAAACATCATAGAATTCATTTGGGAGGAACTGTTTTTATTTAGTGAGCAGGAACACTGCTGCTTTGCTGGCCATAGGCTCAGACAACTAACCTTTTTTATTCTGCTGGTTTCCCAGAATCTCCTGGATATAAATGGTTTTATTAGCATGTCAACTGTTGTATTAAAAGATTTTTATAGAACACCTTCTTGTTTAGTTAAATTCGAATCAGTTTATTTGCGTAGCAACAATTCAAAACACATGTCATCTTAAGGCCCTTTATAGAGACAATTCAACCACAACATACAGTCCGATTGGTTCTCTGTCAAGTTAAACTAGCTGGTTGCATTGAGTCATTAACTTGCAGGAAAAGCTCCTCCTGGATGAGCTTATGGGGACGATATTCACTTCCTTTAATTGCTGACTCTAGAGTCCCTTACACTAAAGGCTGGTTTATGCTCAGAAACCAGGTCGTCTGCGTGTGTGTCGCAGTTAACGGAGATATGTCCCGCCCCTTCCTCAGATACTCTGCTGCACCTCTCCAAAAATGTAGGTGACCACAGACAGGAGGCCTCTGATTGGTCAAACCTACATTTCCTGTTTGCTACCTTACCGGCTTGTTTTGTTTGTATGACAGCCATTGTGGAAGACGATTTATGAAGTTGGACCAGCTAGAAGAGTGAGGTGCTAAGAACGCTGGGACCCTTTTTCCACCTGGATCCCCGCTCTTTTTGGTCTTCATGTCCCTCCATTGTTGCACAAATTTGTCTCTTGCATTTTTCCACGTCCTCACCTCCTCAGCTGTAACTAGACCTACAGCTAGTTCATGACTGTTCCTCTTCCGTTGTGGTGTGGAATAACATAGCACAGACAACACTTCAAAATTGGACATTAATTAGAAATATCTGCATCATACCTGCGACAAGCTCACTGCGACACAGGAGTATAACCAGCCCTTAGGCATGTATGCAGTGAGAGTGGAGAGGAAAAACTCAGGCTCAGTGTGAGCAGCCTTATGGCGGGGCGGACTGGGGGTTCAAAGAGACAGAAGCAAACATACAGAAAGAAAAAAGAGATGCAAAAGGTAACTGCTAACTAGCTTCACAGGAGGCCTGTCTATTAAAGAAACAGTTAAGCAAACAAGCTCCGAACTAGGGCATACTGTAGGACTAGTTTTAATGCCAAAGGATGAAAGAGAGCACATCCAGGTAGTCACGGTAGAAGCTGAATCCATAGCTATGTCTAGGAGAGAAAAGGGACTAAACACTGAAAAACTATAAATGAAGGGAATGGTGGCAGCAGCTTAGCTGATATTTCTCTCCAGGATGGTTTCACACTCAAACAGGAACATGCCAGATGAAAATACTATGACGAGAAAAAGCAGAAAGAGCAGAAAGTTACAGATGGAAACAATATGGAGGTGGAATGAAGCCGTACGAGCAGTTAAGAGCTAATTTATTTATACCCCTGATAGATATAGTTTTATAATCATATGTTTATGTTACAGACAGGCTTCTTCTGACTGGAAATAATAGTGAGAAATCCTCAGACAAGCAGGAACCTGTTGAAGCTGAAGGCTGGCTACTCACAGCCAGAGTGTCAGGCAGGATGACAGAGGCTTGATCAGAGTCCAAGAAACAGTTTTGAGTCATGCACAGGTGGTCAGAGAGAAACAGACAAGTCATGGGACTGTCATATCAATCCAGGTTGTGATCGGAAGCTCTGCGGATGTTGATGAGGTGCAAGGAGTAAATTCGCAAAAACATGATGGAGGCTGCAGCCTTTAAAAGAAAATGTATTTTCTTTAAATTAGCATTAAAGCTAATTTGGCCCAATTAACTGTAATTCTCAAACACAAAATCCATCCCAAACAGAAATATTGTTTATAATTTTATTGGGTATGGTTGTCAACCATTTTTCATTTATTTTTCTATGTGCCCATCATGGACATAATTTTGGGGGGAAAGGTGGGACATGTCCCTTGCACATTTTCAAACATCCTTTTTTGTCCCTTGCACTTTTTATTGTCCAAAAGCAATGTTACACTATAGCACAAGTTGTGGAGCACTAGGACCAAGTGGAAAACTGCAGCTCAAGCTAAAGCCCCTCTGAGTTTAGACCGCCCACAAGCGGCTGATTGGCCCACCGTCTTCTGCTGTGTGATTGGCTGTCACCGCTGTCACTCCTGAGAATCACACTTTACAAACATCTGATGCGCCACTGAACTGGGTCTGTGATTGGATGGTCAAACACCCTGAAGTTAGTTATATTAAAAAATACTTACATCCCTCGCTTCTAAAAATCAAAATTTCATCCACGGTGCCTATTGTAGTTTAGTTTGGTTGAGTTTCACTAGTTAAGTCAAGCTATTTAACTGAAATTAGTTTGACTTGGAGAAGAATGATCTTTGTTGAATTCTTATATTTGAAATGGAAGTTGTTAACTTATTCCATTTGTGTGCATTAAAAAAAAACTATCTGACAATGATTTTAGCTTGATTCACACTTGAAATTTTTTTCTCAACACACAACTAGTCTGGTCTATGTTCAGAGAAAAACATATGACACTCAAAGTTGTTTGGTGAAATAAGAAAGTTACAACAAAATTTATTGCTACCGCATTCCATTGCTTTCATCCAAGTGGTAATTAAAGCTACAGTGTGTAATTTTCAGCGACATCTAACGTCCAGACTGCAGACCGCAGCAACATGAACATCTCCCCCCCACCGCTTCTCCCCCCCAACAGTACGGCGAGCGTTCCGGGACAAAATGTCTTCCACGACGTCCGCATCACCTACTGTTGGGAGCTGGAGAAATTCCACCTTTCTCCAGCAGAGTCCGCCGTGGATCCTCTGAGGGAGCCTCCTGCACAGCTGCAGCTCGTCAGATCATCAGAAGATCCACTACTTAAGCTGTCTTCAGACCTTGCCTCAACGCCGCAGTGTTGTTCCAGTTGGTCAGCGCTTAAGCCTAGATCCTCAGTGTTACTCCATGACTTCTGAATCCAGCTTGGATTCTAACTATTGTCTCTGTCTCCTAGGAAACCTGTGTCTCCTCTGTGAAAGCTCTGGAAGAGCTAACCTGCCGAGCCGACCCTCAGAGCCAAACCTGAAGAATCTCAGAGAACCTCCAAGCAGCTCTGAACTAGAGCTGAGAATCCCAAAGCCAAGGTCTGTTCATTGTAGACGTGAGACGCTGAAGCAGCAACGGACTCTGCTGATGAACTCTTCTCCAGATCCAACAGAGACCCTCCCAAAGTTAATCTCAAGAACCCTCAAGGTACAATCAGTGAACTTCAGGAAATCAACCTCTGTTGGCTACGCTAACTGAACTGTCTCTCACGCAGACTCCGGTGAACCAGTATCCTGGCCCTGAACCTGAACCAGTACAATCTGTGTGCTTGTGGATTAATAAACTTGTTAAACTTTCATTCCTGTGTCCGTCAGTGGTGTTCTGCATTCTTGGGTCGCTTTTAGTGAACTCATCATGACACCTACCTTCTCAAGTGATGAAGTTTGTTTACATAGATAGTTTTACAGATAGTATTTCATTAGTCTGTGTAGGATATAGATTTCATGTACACTTAAGATAATAAATATCGAGCGCAATGGGCGATCTCGCAATCGCTAGTTTGTTGGCTCTGCGCTGCCGTAGCGTAAAGATGTCTGCCTCCATGGCTGCTAGACCCGCTCCTATGTAATTATAAATAACGAATTCTAAGGCAACGCAAATATTAAGGTTAAGAGGCTGAGCTCGTAGATGATGATAAATAACATAGTTATGTATAATATATTACATTTCTGACTGTATATCCCTGTAATTATTACACACTGTAGCTTTAAATAAAAAGTTATTGCATAGCTATATATGCATGAGAGACGGCTGCAAACATTATGAAATTCTTCTAATGCAGAACACAGAATCAGTAAAGTCTAGACCTTACTGAATT